CAGAGGAAGAGCAGGAGCAGGGGGAGATCAAGGTCAGTGCCTGCAGTGAGGAGGGCACCACCCAGGAAGGGAAGGCTGCTGCCACCCCTGAGGGCCAGGAGTCCCTGGCCAAGGGGGCAGAGGCTAGTGCTGCCGCCGAGGGAGGAGACGCTGAAGAGGAGACAGAGCCCCAGGCCGCAGAGCCGTCTACTCCCTCGGGGCCTGAGAGGAACCCTGCACCACTGGCCACTGGCCAGCGCTGAGCAGAATGAGTAGCTGGGTGGGGGCAGGCGGGGGATCTCTAAGCTGTAAAAACTGTGCTGTCCTTGTGGGGTCACTGCCTGGACCTGGTGCCCTGGCTGCCTTCCTGTGCCCAGAAAGGAAGGGGCTTGTTGCCCCTCCCAGCCCCATCCCTCTCCTCCTCTCCCTCCTGTGGATTCTCCCATCAGCCATCTCGTCTTCCTCTTAGGGCCAGTTAAAGATGGTCCCTTACAGTTTCCCAAGTTAGGGTGGTGAGGTGAAATGCTCCTGTCCTTGGCCCTACTTCCTTCCCTGTCCCTTCCCCTACAGAAGGCAATTGCTGGTTTTCTCCCAGTTCTTTTCCAAGTAGGTTTTGTTTATCCTACTCCCCAGATCCCTGAGCCCGAAGTGGGGTGCTTACACTCCCAAACCCTGAGTCTCCAGCCTTCCCCGTGTTGAGTTATTTTGGTCTCTCGTGCTGTGCCTAGTGGTACCTGGGCTGGGGAGGACACTACCCCATCTAGGTTTTTGTAAATGTCTTACTCAAGTTCAGACCTCCAGCTTGGGAATCAACTGTCTCTTTTTTGACTTGGTAAGCAAGTGTTAATTAGGCTTTGGGTGGGAGGGAGGTCTGTAATGTGAAACAACTTCTTGTTGTCTTTTTTGTTTTCTCCCATTGTTGTTAATAATTTTAATGGCCAAACCCAGATTTGTACTTTTTTTTTTCTAATTGCTAAAACCATTCTTTTCCACCTGGTTTTGCCATCATGTTTGGAAGAGGAATAAATGTTGTCCCTTCTAAAAAAAAAAAAAAAAAGAAAAAAGAAAACCAAATGGCAGAAAACACTTCTGAAAAAAGTTTTTACCACAAACTCCCCCGTTTTTGCCACGGATTCTGCCCTCACGCTGATATCTACCAATGACCACACCGATGAGAGGCACTGGGAGTACACCAGCACTGGCACTGAGCCGTCCCCTCCAGAAACCTCTGTCCCCTTGCTGTCATCCCCCCGGAGATGAGTTCAAAACCCAGCTAAACCAGCAGCTTCACATCCTCATTCGGGGATCAATATGTGATTCACACTCTTACAAGGGACAGTTCCGAGCCCCGCATCCACCTGGCCTGTGCCAAGCTCATCTCCAGAACAGGCCTCCTGATGAAGCTGCTCAGTAAGCAGCAGGAAGAGAAGGTGGCCCAGGCCCAGTGGGACATGGAGCAGTGGAAGAGCGAGACCTACATGAACGAGAGCTCGGGGGTGTCCAGCAATCAGAAGATGCAAGGCGAGCCAAGGGACCACACGCAGGAAGTTCCGGGACACGGCTACAACCAGACGCTCATCCTGGCGCTATCAGTGACGGTGACCCCAATGCTTCTGATCATCATCTCCTGTCTCATCGAGATTTGCTCCCACAGAACAGCTTCGGGGCAAGATGAGGAAGGGTTATCAGTTAGCATTTGTGGGTGGAGAAGGAAGTCCTCAGGGGAAAAGGACAGTCAGGAGGGCTTCTCCTGGTTTTGGTGGCCGCTGTGGCTCAGGGACATGAGCAGGCCTCTCAGCGTCACCCGGCAGCAAAGCATGGCACAGAAGCTACACGACAAGGACTCTTCCAATGAGAACAAGATATCTGGTCACCAACAACATAGGGGAGGCCAGCGAAGCCCCCTCAGAGGCAGAGGAATCCACAAAGGCAGCAGAGTGAGCCCTTCCCACCTTAGGTGATTTGCAAGCAATGCCAAAATCAAACTTCCCAAATAATTACAGAAAATGTAAAAAACTTCAAAAGCAAATCACAGGTACACATGCACATCCTGGCTGTGCTGATTTTGGGCGGAGCTGGGAGGAATTTGTTCAGGGGTCCAATCCCTGAACACTGAGTGTTGCACTGAGTGTTCTGCTGTCTTTTGCGGGAATTTCAGCATTCCGGGCCCTAGCCCGTGAGGGCAGAGGAAGTGCACTCACGGATTGGGATGTGTGGGGAGGCCCAGAGAAAGTGCCCAAGGCATCTACTTACCCCAAGCAGCAGGAGGGTCCTAGACTTTTGCAGATGGGAGGGGTGTCCGGGAATGGGAAGCAGAAGTAGAAGAGGATCGAGATGTGTCCCTACATACCAGCACTCCATGATGAATATATTCATTATGTGTCACAAACACACTAATGAAAACTATTTTTAAAAAGAAAATTAGTGACACACAAGGGAGGCGAGGCCCATGGGCCCTTGTGGAGAGGTGGTGGAGAGGAAGGTGACCCCATGACCTTGGGACTACACCATGCAATGGCAGAGGACCGTCTGTCCAGCAAGTTTGCCACCTTTGAGAAGTTTTCTATAGCAAACAACCAAACCCATTGAGTCCTGGTCATGAAAACAAAGCCTAGACTGAAGAAAGACCATGGTGGAAGAAAGCCACCCAGTGAAGCGTAGGAATGGAACTGCATCTGGCATCTGTTCAGGGACTTCCTTCTAGGACAGACTGGGTGACAGGCTGTGGGATCAGAGAAGCCAGGACAAGCTCTGCTCGGGGCCAGTGAACAGGATATGTGGGAGAGATCTGGACAAAGCGTGCTATGGTTTGAGGAAAGACTTTAGCGAGGGTGCACCAGGCTGGGCAGCTCCAGGCTGGTGGCTGCTCCCAGCAGGTCCCCTGCAGAGGTGGATGGGCTTCTGGGTTCACACAGCACAAAGACACTAGCCATGCTGGAGAGGAGTTTTGGCTGCAGCCATGCCAGCCAAGAGTGTTTGTCTTCCTGGGCATTTGGTTAGAGTTGGGAAAGAGGGTGAGCCTAGTTCCTGGAAGGCTGAAAGAGTTGGAATGAATAGAACAGAAGATTCCTTCAAAGAACATTCAGGACCCCTTGTCCCTTTCTCTGTCCTCGGTGTCTGCTCCACCCTCTCCAGGTCTTGGAGAACATTCCAAGTCGTGGAGAAACTTGATGGGAAGACAATATGCTTCAATGAGGTTTGATTTTGGACCTGACCCATTTGTTGTAGTTTGTTGTAATGAAATAAAAGAGTAATGTTGCTTTAATCACACTGTTTGGAAAATGCATTAATGGATTTTTATGAAGACTATAGTTCTTCTGTTAACAACAGAAGCCAGGATAGTGCCTGGGGAACCTGAGGGACCTCTCTATGGGGCTCATCGTGCAGCTCCATGTGAAGGAGCAGAGTGCATTATGTTTCCCAGCCCATCTCTCATTGCCCTGTGGCCATCTGTGTGCCAGTGAATTCTCCTTTGCTGTTCATGTGGAAACCTGGGGTGCCTTTCAGTGGATGGTTGATTCTCATAATTGCTGCGTGTTTTGACCTATGTGACATTCCTATTTGGATGTGTGTGCATTTGTCCCATCATGCTTTGTGAGAATGGTCGAATCCTTGCCAAGGACTAGTGGCACAAATGGAAGTTTAGTGTACAAAATGTCAACTTTATTGTTTTAACCCAACAGGGCCTAATGAATTTGAAAGACAAAAATTCAGCAACCTAATGCCCACAAAAGCCGGGTGCAGTAATTTGTCTTCATTCATTTATTTATTTTTGGTTCTGCACAAGTGGCATAAACCGGACGTTTCAGAATGATAAAACTGTGAAAACTATGTTCCATTTTCTCATTCACGTGCATGGGCGCACCAGGTAATTATATTGCAAAGCAGGAAATAAATATGAATGTGAAGAAAAATGCTACCCATGGTACATGCATGAGCTCAGGTTGGAGGGCTTCCATGGCTGTTAGTGTTGTAAGAATTAATGCAGTGCTGCCACTTTGGGCTTGTGTGTGGAAGAGACCTGCTCCAAGCACATTATTCTCTCTGTCTTGTTTTCCAGTGCTCCGGCTCCTGCAGGAGGGCACAGATCCGCACACTGTCGTGTCCTCGGGAGGGTCCTTGCTCCATCTGGTAAGTACTGTGACAATCTTGGGGGACACCTGGAGAAGGGGATCAGTGAAGGGCTCCAAACTCAGCCACAGAGTGCACACCTGATAGATGATGATGATTCCAATTAGCAGGTGCAGGTAACGAGCTGCCCTTACAGTGAAGTCTGTAAATAATCTTTCACAAATGGCACCAGAGCCTCGGCCCTAAAGGGAACGCTTTTGCAATTGAACAGCATTTGGGAGTAAGTTCAATAACACTGCACCCATCACAGAGCAGTATGCAGCCCTGCCCCTCCCTCACTGCCGCAGCTTGTCCTTGCTGCTCTGCTGAAATTTACTCTGGTCATGGTCAGGCCTGACCCTGTCAGTGTGGATAAAAGTGGCCTTATATTCTTTTGTCAGTGAAGTTGGCGTGGATTAAGTAAAAAGAAAAATAAGTGCATAAAGAAAGAAATATTTTTATGAGGCTGATGCCTGTGAAACTTGCTGGTTTAGTTAAACATTAAGTAAAAGGAGAAGTCAAGAGTTATTTGATTTAGTGGTATTTAGGACCTGTTTAAATATAGTAACTCAATTTTGGAAAATAACAAAATAGCATTAGGAAAAAACTCTAATTTAACATTGTCTACCTAGACAAAACATAATGCTGTATTTATTTTGGCTCTAAGGAGCTATGACAGAGGGCTCATGCACGCATCAAGTGGGAGATCCTTCCTGGACCAAATTTGACAGTGGGAGTTTCCAGATCTCTCCAGGTGCTGCTGATTTATAACCACCACTGAGAAGAACTATAAAAGAGAAATGATGTCTAAAGAAAGCTTGGGGAATCGGGATAACAAGTTATGTTCCACAGTCAGCAGAACAGAAAACTGGGAATTGATAGGAGATGCTCTGCAGAATCATGGAGATTGTTTCTCCTGTGCATTGGAAAGGGCCGAAAAGAGCCATTTCTAGGTAACTTTCTTTCCTCCTGGGATGTTCTAGTGATGGAACCTCTCCATTGTCCACGTGGTTTGTGCCATGGCTTCCATCTTTACAAGGGGCTGCACCTTGTTTTTCCTTAGATCCCAAGGGTAATGTGAGAAGCCCGGACCAGGGACTTCTGTAAAAGCCATCCACAGGCAGGGATGCTCCTGCTGGGCAGTGTCACCAGGCTGCTGTCACCACTGGGGGTGTGGGAAGCAGTAATTTCCATGAATAAGCCTGTCAAAGATATTGTTGTCATTGCCAGGAGAAGGCTGTTAGAGAGAGAGAGAGAGAGAGAGAGAGAGAGAGAGAGGAAAAGTGGAGAGTAGATGAACAGAGCCTGTTACTTCTTCATGTACACAATGTATCTGACCTTTAGTGAGCCTATAAATCTCTGTCCTACAAATCAGAAAGTCACAAGTTGCCTTCTTTACCTTTTAAATAAAGTCAGAAAGCCACACAGTCATCAGCTGGCAGCAGCTGTGCTCTCCTAAGCTGCTGTTGCTGGTCCCAGGTGAACCTTTTCCTCTCTCATCCCACCCCCTGCCAGACTATTGCTCTGTTTCTCACACAACAACCACAGCACAGCACAGCACAGGGCTCCCTCCGGAATGCCCCAGTCACCCCCATCAGTGTCATTAAAGTCCCCAGGCAACCCCGCCTGCAGCAGTGGCCACCCACCTCCATGTCACTCTGACTCCGCTTGCCCACCATGACCTCTTTGCTGCTCCTTACCCCATGCCCTGTCCTGCTCCGTCTGGGTCCCTTGCTGTCTCCTCCCCGTTGACCCACTCTAGCTAGACACCCACACAACATACCAGCCTCTTGCTGTGGGCCTCCGCTCCCGCATCTCACATAGTCCCCCTCTCTGGTGCATCCCACAGCATGGAGCACCCACCAGAAGCCCTCAGGCAGCCCCCCGCATCCCTGAAGTGTCATTCTCCATCCCCTCCTGCACGGTGGCTCCTGTGGCTACTGTGTGTTCTCCAGGACCAGCTCTGTGAGAGCAAGGACTCCTGGGTAGATAATGAATTCCTGTCGCTACGGAAGTCAGGAGTGTCTGACACTGACAGATATCGGGGGCGAAAAGGTGCAGAGCCCATATTCTGTGCCGGCACTGAGTCAGGTGTTCTGAGGGGAACAAGCTCACCTGTGAGGACAGCAGACCTGGTGAGGGTGGAGCAGATGCTGAGGACAGAGCAAGGGACGGGGGTCTGGTGGGGACCCAGGTCCAGGCCTTTGCCCACCTGCCTGCTCTGATTGCTTCTCCTTTCACCAAGGTCATAGAGGGCCCGGCCCTTGCTTTGCCGTGCATCTGGGCGCAGTGGGTTGTAGTCATGGACAGTGTGGCTTTTTCTCTCTGCCAGCCTGAAATTTCAAAAACTGATTCCTAGTAAGTGATTAGTGAAAGGCCCCTGAGAACAGAAGGGGCCTTCGGTTAATAAGAAGGTGGTTATTTTAGTCTTCAAGCCAACTGTGTGAAAGGCTCAGAAATGGTAGCATCAGGAGGAAAGGGAATGAAAAGACTAAAGGGGTCAGGTAGGCAGGAAACGTGTTATTAAATCCCAGTCCACAACAGCAGCGGAAGTTGGGAGACCGAGACCCAGGGAGGTTGATGGAGGAGGTGCAGGAGCTCAGCGCTGGGGCTGAGTAAATAAAAACTAGTGCAAAATCACAGGTTGCCACAGAGACAAAATTGCAGGGTTTCTGGATGCTGTGGGTAACGAGGAAGGCAATTTAGCCATCTCGGGTGTCACCGTGAGCGGCCTCACCGTGTGCCCCAAACCTCCGAGGCTGATCCAGATCACAGGGGCCCTAATTACATGCTGCCCCCACTGCTGGTGTCGCTCAGCGCAAGGCAGCGTATGTGTGCATGGGGCTTGGGAAAAGGCCGCAGAAATGTTCAGATTTCCCAGGGCTGTTTGTTTGGTGCAGTTTTTATTCATGGCATGCCTTGTTCTCAGTGCAGATTTCTGTGAGGCATCTTTTTTCTCTTGGAAGTGCCAGAAAAACGTTTTTTAGGGTAGGAATTGCAAAAAAAAAAAAAAGAAAAAAAACACACAGGATTTAAAGTTGATATGTGAGGAAACAGGTTTTAGTATTTTGGGTCATGCAACATTTTGTCTCCTTTTTAATACATTTTCTACAAATACATTGGACTCAGTTTATTTATCTGCTACTCATTAAATAATTCGAACATCAAACCTAACCGGTGTTGTGTTCTGTGTGGTGGGCAAGAGGGGACAGTTGCATGCAGTAAACGCGTGGTCACCAAGGACTGGGCAGTGGACGGCTGGTGACATGTGCAGCCTTTTCATTCTGCACAGACTCCAGTTCAGGCCACAGACAAGCGAAAGTGGAATATTTTAGAAATATGAACTATTTTCTTTTACTGAGTGAATTCTGGTTTTAACATAAGGATAGGCATCTCAACAGTAGCATTCTTGCAGCTGCTAAAAATATTGAGCTACAATAGATACGAAAAAATGTCCATGATGTATTGGTGCATGGCCAGAAAAACAGATGGAAGAACAGTACACATAATGCAGATAGATAAAGACAGATGCATGATCCTTTATGAAGCAGAGAAAATATCTTGAAGGCTAGATGAGAATTTTTTTTTTTTTTTGGTACTGGGGATCGAACTCGGGTCCTTGCACTTTCGAGGCAGGCATCGGAACCACTGAGCTAAATCCCCAGCCCTGTGAATTTTTGAAAGTGACTCAAGTTGAGGAAAGGAAATGATGTCTTTTAATTTTTGCTGTTTCCTTTTACATGTTGCTTGAACACTTCAAATGGCAAGCATGTGTGTTCCATATAATAAAAGAAAGTAATGCAAAATAGCCAGGACTATGTTTCAATTAGATGTTTAGATTTGAAGGGCTTCAGTGTCTTTGCCATTTTTACAAGAAACTCTGCAGCGGTAAGGTGAGCTGCTCTCGGGCTTCCCTGAGTTTCCATAATCACAGGTGCTATGAGAAGCCGAGCCAGCAGCAGCTGATTCTGACTGCGGGACAGGCAGTCCCATGCCTTAGCGTCTTCAAAACCGAGCAGCACATAGTGTGCTTGGCTTTGCTTTTTCCAGAAGGAAGAGGCCAAAGCCTGCAAGGTGGAGTCTTAGCAAGGGGACCATTCACAACAGAAGGGATGAGAGTGGTGATGTCACCAAGAGGGGATGGTGCTGATGTCTGGAGCAAGTGGTGATTGCACGGTGCTCGTGGGTGGCAGCTCGCAGGTGCAGGGTGGCATGCACGTGAGAACAGGGCTCCCCACATTTCCCAGGGATGTGACTTTAGGGCCCACACTCCTGACTGGGGCTTGTGTTTTACAGACCAGCCTCGCTTTGGTCTGTGAGAGCCATAGCACCCACAGCGATGAAGTCCACCGTCCGGGATTTCACATCACTAGCCCGGTGTCCCACTGAAACTCAGGCGAGAACCACAGCCATGAGCTGTACTCTGGCTCCCTTTTTATCCAGAGCAGCTGTGTGGGTGACTCAGGAGCAGAAGGTCAAGAGCAGAGAAAACGCTCTTCATGCTTCGAGAAAGTGAAGGGGCTGAACTTCTATCTTTGAGTGAAGATGCCAGCAGGGGCTGATTCATTCAACAGCAAATGGTTTCAAAGGTCTTTGTGGAGTTGCCAGCCAGATGGGGTTTTTTGTTTGTTTTGCTTTGATTTTATTTTTATATCTCTGCAGCAAGGGATCCCTATTTGCTTAGAATCAGAACCCTTTCTTGACAGGGTGGAGGCAGATGAGCAAGGCACTCTGGGTAGACCTCTTGCAGATCTCTCTCTGTACCCTTGCCAGAAAATGTGGAGCTGGCGAGTTTGGGAAACACGGTGCAGGGCAGAGTGTGCGAGAAGCCAGGGCTGAGCCCCAGGGAGGCCCTCCCCATGTCGTGTCAGCCTGCAGCGCCCCGCTCGGTTGGGCGGGGGGAGCTTCCGCAGTGCCGAGAACTTGGCAGACTCTGAAGATGCACAACCGCTCGCTCGTGACCCACAAATGCTCCTCCTGCTCCTCCTCTTGTTCTTCCTTCTGCCTCCTGCTCCTGGGAG